AAAAAAAAAAAAAAAAAAAAAAACCTCCGCCGTGACAATGCTCTCACACATTGCCGTGACCAGGATTCGAACCTGGGTTACTACGGCCACAACGTAGGGTCCTAACCACTAGACGATCACGGCTATCGAAGGTAGTGTAAACCTGATCTCTTTTAACGATACACTTGAATAGAACGGTGTCGCGATTTACTTGCGCTTTATATAATTGCAAATTACGTCAGTTTTGTTAAATCGTCAAACTTTGATTATCGCAAAACTCTGATATAACAAGATGTCAAATGTTAAACATAAAGTCATAGATCGAAAATTAAAAAAAACAAAAAAAATTATCAGCAATAATCAACGATTTTTCTTTATTTACAATATGTTCTAACTTTTGAAGCAAATTGTAGTCATAAAGTGACAAATATATATTATATTCTGATATAATCTGCGATATTATATTCTTGCTATAATCTGATTATATTCTGCAAATATCGCATAAAGCATAACGCTATGTGTTTTTACGGGCAAACTTTCGATTTCTCTCAATTCGATTCGCGATTCAGGAACGAATCTTCTTACATATTTTCGAACATCGTAATTCCAAATCGAAGCCGCACCGACCATTTTATACGTGCTACGTAGTCGTCGTTTTATAAAATCAATCGGTAATCGCATATGTCGCGCGCGCAAACGTAGTCGTGGCCCGTAGCAAACAGCTCCGCCGTCTTTCTGTTCGCCGGATCGTTGCGGGGTTCTCTCGACCGCCGTTGCTACGGCCGTTGCTACCGTAGCGGTTTTAGCGACAATGTTTCTCTCATGCGGCGAAAAAGTCGCCGGAATATGGATACCTGCCGCCGACGACGACCACCTGCGAACGAGGTAGCCGCCCATTGTCGTCGGTTACTGCGGAAACGTCATTCTGTGTGTGAGCGCGCGCGGCTCGTGTTTCGCGCTCAGGTTCGTATCGCGATCTACTTCGCGACACAACTGGTCTCTCTTCAAAAGAATTTCTTTCTCTTGATGAGACCGTCTCTCTTAACAATTTTTTAACATAAGATTTTGCAAGCTGACGCAGTGAAAAGAAAGTTTCGTTCGTTGTCTGTTATCGAGACATTTTTGTCAATTGCTCTTTTTTTTGTTTTTTTAGTTTAGTCTATATATAATTTTATATATTCGTTCTTCTCTAAATTTATTATTTATATTGTATTTATTACATATTATTTTATACTTTATTTATTTTATTTTCCAATTATGTCATCTTCCTCCAATATTATGCAAGCAATATAATTACTGACGCAATTATCGCTAATTACATTGTATCATATGAACAGGCTTTTAAACAAAGCCAAAAGTTATCGCATAGTGCAGCAAGGTAAACGGTATAATTTGAGTACTGAACTATTCTATTAGTAGCAGCCACAAATATATTTATATCTGAAATTTTGGAAATCTCATTAAAACAGATAAATTCCATCAACATACATCTATATATCTTTAGCTCTTATTTTATGATAGATATATAAAGTTTCTATAAATATATTAATCAAATAGTAATCATATTATTTTGAACATTATAATGCATTTTTTTATTTATTTAAATTTAATAAGAAACAATTTTACGGCTATTTGTTACTAAATTTTCACTGCTCCGTTATTGTTTTACTTGTATTGCATCACTCTTATATATCAATAGTGCACCAAGTGAAGGTACGTTCCTGAATCGTTGTATAGACATCAAAGACTGTAAACTACTTGCTTCATCATGCTTTCCCGATCACGAGAGTCTCCGGGAGAGCCTACCCCAACTGAAGATAGCTTGATAGAGTCTGGGTTATCTTATATTCACGCCTCTCTCTCTCTCTCTCTCTCTATTTTTCTCTCTCTTTCTCACTCATTCTCTCTCTCTCTGTTTCTCTCTCGTTCTCTCTTTCACTCACTCTCTTTCTCTCGCTTTCTCTTGCTCTCTCGCTCTCTCGCTCTCTCGCTCTCTCGCTCTCTCGCTTTTCGCTTTCTCGCTCTCTCGCTCTCTCGCTCTCTCGCTCTCTTCCTCTCTTCCTCTCTCTCTCTCTCTCTCTCTTCCTCTCTCTCTCTCTCTCTCTCTCTCTTCCTCTCTCTCTCTTTCTCTCGTCCTCTCTCTCTCTCCCCCCCCTCTCTCTCTCTTTCTCTATCTTCTGTTTTTCCTTCTACTCTCCATCCAAAGTACGATACAGAATCGCGAACGAGTCGCAAAAACGTGGCGGAAAAGAAATATCATATCATTTAAAAGACTGTGAAATTTATTAGCGTTTGTTTACAGTGTTGCGAGATCAAATCTGTCGATCATATCCTGCAAACAATTCAAACTTGCACGATGCAATCTGAATAAACGGAAAAACACTTGAATATACCAATATATTGTATAAAATGAATATATGTGAAGTTTTACCAGAGATTTTAGTTTTCGTAATTTTTTAGTCGTTTTATTTGTAATAATTCATAATTAAAATCAAAAACTATAGAATTGTGACAACTCCAAAAAATTTTGGGAAGATATAATACAATTTTAAGTAAACTAAAATACATAAGAAAAAAGAACGTACGCAGGTCTAATAATTTTGAGATTTCCTGTAACCTTGAACATGTTCTATTTGACGAACAAAAGAGAACAAAAGAGAAGAGAACCGCTGATTTCGTCAAGTAGAGGATGTTTCTCAACTATTTTCTTTCTTCTTCTTTGTCCTCTCTCTCTCTCTCTCTTTCTTTCTCTTTCCTCTCTTGAACACCACTACTACTACGATGAAAGATTTATTGTTATAACGTTCTTCTTTTTGTTCGGATCGAACAACTAGATATACGATACTGAAAACCGAAAGTATTCAAGGAACAATGTTCTGTGCTCTCCTGTTGCTTGGATTAAATTTATGACACACGGCCAAACATTTCTCAAATGTAATGGTCTTGCAAAAACCTCGGAACATAAAATAATGATTTAAAAAAGTTTGCTGTATTATATAGTTTCGTAAGTGCCTTATAAACGTGCCAATCGATAATATACATAAAAATCAGAATGTACCGTATTATAAGAATTTTTCCTGTATTTCGTTATTTACTTTTCTTGTTCGTCGCACTTTTTTCCAAAGTCCTTGAGCAACTTATCAATTCGCTTCAAGTACTTTGTATAACTTCTGTGATCAATATTATATACCTGATAAAAAAAAAAATAAACGATTTTACAAAAACATTTGCAAAAAGATAATATGACAACTAAACGATCTGAAAAACAGCTTTTATACTTTTTTGACGAAGTTTGTTTTCAATCTTTTGTCTTGAAACATCATTTTGTCGCCGGTTTTCAAGTTATCAAAAACCTTTGCACGCAAAGGTCCAAATTTCTTTTGAAACTTTCGGACTTCTTTGCATTTCTTTTCCAGTTCTTGTATGTCGGCGTGAATTTTTCTTTCGTTCTCACCTAGCCGATCAACTTTCTTGTTAAAATGTTTAATGTCCTTGTAAGCATTTTGATAGTCTTTCCATACTTTAATGCGCAATTCTTCACCAAACTGAATATTACAACTATTTATATCTTTATGATATCTTATTTTTTTATGTTAGTGAAACATTTTATTGTTTTATATTGATATATTCGACAAGAGAAAAAAAATTATCACCTTATCAATTTTATTTCTGACCGTATCTTTTAATTGATCCGGTGCGTTTGGAAATTTATTCATTGCCTTATCAATCCGTGGTTGATTAGTTTTAATCCAGACATCAATTTTAGTGTTAACTTTATCATCATCGTAATCCATTAAGAATGTATCCTCGTTCGTAACATTATCTTGCACTTTTGCCAATATTTCGGAACTCCAGTGTAAAACACGATTTTTTTCTTCTACGAGTTCCTCCCACGTGTCAGGCATTCTACCTACAGTTTGCCCCATTTTCTTTGCCAATCTCTCGTTAGAATAAAAAATTCAGGTTTTTAACAATCTGAAAAAATTATTTTAAGAACTTACACTTTTCTTTTTTTTTTTATTTTGCATTTACTTACAATATATACAAACATATAATATATTACTTAAAACTCTAAAAATTTACATATATGTCTCTTAATTTTAATTTGATGTTGATAAAAATGTGTTTCGTTATCGCAAATGACATCGCATGACACTTTGTACGATGGCGCCTCGTAGCGGCGGGATCGCGACATTTCACGCTATTGATAAAATTCTTCCGACATGATAAATATATACCACGCGGTCGCGCTGAAGGAGAAAGCGGTGAAATAATGTGGAAAACGAGCTAGTTGCGTCTTTCATGGCCGGCTGAATGCGTGTCGGATTCGTTTCGCGTTTCAGGAATAAGGGGGATGAGACGCGCGACGATCGAAACGCGCAAGAGACGAGGTCGAAAGCTTTGCTTCGCATTCAGCGCCATTTTGCATCACTCGCTCGTCGGACTCGTGGAAAAGAGAACTGGGACGGATGTCCGCCTGTCGGGAAAGCCCCCGCGGGATTGAGTCGGCACGAGGCTCGCATCGCGGGGTGTCAATTCAAAGCGACGTAATCTCCGCTCAGCGCGACCAATAATCGGCTTATTGATTTTGATTTGTGTCTGCGCGAAGGCCTGTACATACCGTACATTGCGTTTTGACGACTGCATTGAACTCCGACTTAAACTACGCGCAGAAAGAACGTTGCTTCTCTTTCTCTCTCTCTTACTTTTGGCGAAATTATATTTCCATTAAAAGAAATGCTGCCGATTTTAATTATGTATAATAAAATTAGAAAATCCGTTTTTGCGTTTTTTATACTTACTAATCAAATGTAATTCCGGCAAATATATGTGTATGCAAATATATTATCCACACTAGAGGAATTTTTTTCTCTTCTCTCTCGAGGTTTACCTTATTTTCAAATATGTTTCGTACTTTTGCTTTTCGAAATGTTATCTATACACGTTTCACCTCTCATGTGGAAATGTACACAAGCTTTCAATAATTCGCTTTCCGAGGAAGGGGAAGAAGCCGCAGCTGATCAGCTATCCGCGGCAGTAGGAGAATGTAGTACGTAACAGTAGAAGCTTCTTTCCCTCTTGCGAAACGCATTTGTTTGAAGGCCTTTGTAATATATACAAACATATACCTGTACGTATTTCGAACGTGCGTGCTTGTGAAGAAACTCGATTTCAAAAAATCATTTATATAAGAAAGTACAATAATACGGAAATCCATGACATAAAAAAAAACTTGCAAACTTTTATTTAAATATTTTCGAATCGGTAATATACGTATGGTTTTATGGAAAAAAAAATCGCAAAGGAACAAAATACGCGCGCGAAAGCCTGTAACAAACTTATATAATACTTCTCGTTACAGTGAGGAACTCTCCGTCACACAGTGAGAAACTTTGTATAAACCAGTAGTATTTCGAGGAAGTCTTTTTCTTCGGGAAAACGTTCGCAGAAACATCTTTTCCCAACTTTTAGCGTGTAACACAACCAAGCCGAGTTTATCAACGTCAGCAATTAAGAGTTAATTCGCGCGATGTTCAGTCCCTCCGAGAGGGAAGGAGATCGCTCTGAAAGAGCGATAAACAACCATCTTTATGCCCGATGACGATGGAAATTTGCGTTTCATGGAATTATAAAGTAATCCCGCGCGGCGGCGCGCACCCTCTCCCGCGCGCAAAGCGAAAGTTTCTAACCGCGGTTAACTAGTTGACGCTTTTAACGATCCCGGCGACGTTTATTCGCGAGCATTCTCACGTGAAAAACCTCTGTAGACCTCCGCGCGCGCGCGCGCACGTTCGCACCGTTTATACGTACACACGTACGTGGTGCTGCTCTCCCGCTTTGCGGTACCGTTCGAGCGACAAATTGAACTAAAAATAACCGCTTTGCGCGCCGATGCCACCTGACTACTCGTGCGTGCGCGAAAGTGGCCTCGCACACACTTCACCTGGCTGCTCCTTTGAAGCCGGGAAATCGCCTTGCGAATTACGTGTATTCACATGCATGTACACCTTGTGTGCAGCTTTTTACAGCCTGACCTACCTTTCGCCCACGTTAAGTGGCGCTCATTCGTTGACTAGGAATCGGTACAGCGAGTAGTCGTGTCATCGCAATATCAAAAAACATACGAATGGCACATATCACGGATAGGTGTCGCGAATGATTGCGAATCGTGTTTCAATCATACTGTTGTGTGTACGTTTGTCTGAATTGCAAACAGAATATTTCTGTTCAATCAATGTGACATCGCGACTTTCACGAGAGAAGACGTGATTGAAGCACAATGTTTTTTTCTCTATTCTTTAGTTTCAATTTTTTTTTAATTGTATTTCAATTAAGAGTATACACACACGCGCACACATATGTGCGCATCTTGATAGTGTCAAGACAACAAGTTAACCACATAAGATACTTTGCGCGTTATTCGTTAATACAAATACGCGGTCTCGTAACGTGTGGCTATCCAGTAGTAATCTAGATTACGGTTTCTTCTCCACGCGACGGATCATCATATCGAATCGACACATGTAAATCACGAACCAAAAAAGCGAAACATCGTTTCCGACTGTTCGATGAATCAGTCAGAAAGAATTAATTAACGAGCTAAGCAGAGATGCTGTGCGCACAAACTTGTGCTCATTTTACCGTACTTGTACATTCGAAGTTATTTTATAACACGTCGAATATACAACGTGTACATTATACATAGACATGTTTGTATGTTCGTACGTATACAAAGATAATCGTAATGTGAAACTAAAGTGTGGTACAGAACACTTTAACGAGTAAAAAAAAAAACAATCCTGCTCACATAATTCGATCCTTATTAATGAAAATCAATTAAATGTTTCTTCCTTGAGATGACTTCTGTGCACACAAAACTCTACATAAAATCTCTATAGACAATGACAAACACTTGAAACTTTGCGACCGCGGCGTGTCGGCATGTTCTAATTCAATTACCGTCAAAATCCCTTGTCGTCGGGTATTAAAGCCAAGTCTAATCCCGGGGATACCGAGGGATACGCAAGACAAGGGCGATTCTCGAGTCAGTGCTAAGCTTGGCGAGTACTCTTTCTGTTTTTCTCTCTCTCTCTCTCTCTCTCTCTCTTTCTCTTTTTTTCTTTCTCTCTTCCTCTCTTTGGGGTAACGGTAATCGATGAAAAAAGCTAAAACGGTAACAATGGCGGCGTTTCTCACTGCGCTGCACTTAGTGCAGGTAAAGGTCGGAGCGGTGGCGCATTTGAGACGTAAGCGGATGAGAGTAAAAAAAGATTAAAATATTGTAGAGAGAAAAAAACCGTTCTAATATTCTTTTCGTTTAGAATGCACGAAACACATCCGAGCATTGATTACGTTTGTCTTTTCTTTTTGGGGGGAGACAGATCAATGTTTCACATTGATCGTGGTAGGTTTTTCATGTAACTGTCAGACAGATTAATGAAATAAAATGTCGCGGATTATGTAATATACGCAAGATGGAGTTGCGAGGCAGATCATTAATTCGCCATGTTCTAGAGGTGAATAAAGCTTCTCCCGGGAGTTGAGGAATGCGGATTCGCAGGAAGAGCTAGATCCCTATATTTGGGGAGACGGATTCTGAGCGCGCGAACGCGAAGCAAATATTTTTGGAATTATCATTTTCAAATCGCAAAATCTGCACCGATCGGATTTTGATTATTTTTATTTTGATCATCTTTAGCCAATTAATGTAAATAGAAAATACATTTCATTCATGTCTTTGCAAAAATAATAAACATATTCAAGAAGAAAACCAAAACTTGTTGTTTTATTTATATTAATTGGCTCTGAAGATGATCAAAATAAAAATGATCGAAACGTTCCAACAAGATTGAAGAGTTTTTTTTTTAATTTTTTTATATTCCAAATTCTAAAGCTTTAAGATCTCTACTTTAATTTTTGAATTTTGCCCAAAAAAGCTTGTTTTCTAATTAAACATATTTCTTGAGATAACTACTAATTTCTTTTTTTTTTTAAATAAAATTGATTAAATTCTCTCTCTCTCTATCTCTTATTTTCTTGCTTTCTCTACTTTAAACTTTGAGTAAAAAAGTGCGACAGAAAGTGCGAGCAGAGTCGTAGTTATTTTCGCTCGGACACGATCCGATACGTGGAAGCCATTGTTCGTGCGATCCTAGTTTGGCAGTGATCCTCGGTGTCAGCTAGTCTAATAAAAGCCAGGTCGAGCTTGCGACTGATCGAGCCGATTGTAATTCATGCCCGTCGTTGCGCTGGCTACAATCTGGAAAAAACTCTATCACCATCTCACTCTCTCGCGTGCTCTCTCTCACTCACTCTCTCTCTCTCTCTCTCTCTCTCTCTCTTTCTCTCTCTCCGTACATTTCTCCTTAAAGTAAAATCTTTTTCTTCTCAGACGATTGTCCAAGGATCACAAGAGAATAAACGATTTGCGGATAAGTGCAGAGACAATAGTTATCAATAGCACTCGTACGTGCCGCTACTTGTCTGTGCTTCCCATAAAGCTCTCGAGAGACGTTCCTCCAATGGCGAACTGCCAAGCAGACACAATCCATACTATAAATACTGCGCATCACTGTCCTATCCTGGCATACGTATCGTACTAGTTTGTTTCGTTCCACACACGACTATCCCTTTTTTCAATTTTTTGCTCGCACTTCGTTAACATGACTGAAACGTCCTGATTTTAACACGTCGTAATTAACGTTCGACTTCGTCTCGCGTTCGTCAGACACGATCGATTTTTACATATCGAGAATATTTTTCTCAAAAAGAAACGAAGAAAATAGAGAAGAGCAAAAAATAGTTTTCCGATTAAAATGCTGCGTTTTATGATTTTAGATTTTTTGTAAGTTTCTTCTTACACGTACATATCTGTATAAAAGAAGGCAAGAAAGAGTCATGTATATATATATATATATATGTATATAAACTTTTAAGTAATATATATTATCAAACACTAATTTCAATAATTGAAATATACAGAAGATGTGAGAAGTGTAGTCTGGAAAAAACGACGGATTGGGGCGAAGTACGTGTAACTCGGCGATCGAGTAATGCGCGCCACGTTTTCGAAAAAAAAAAAATTCACATACACCATGTGTTAATGTAATCGACGTAAAAGGTATAAGCTTTTGCGACCGCTTTCGAGAGAGGTGAACGTACAAATTCCTGTGTTACGCCACAGGACTCTCAGGCTAATGGCGGCCGTTTATTCGACTCGCGTCCAGACTGGAAGTGGTCGATAGTGGTTTTCGGTATATGATGAGAGCAGTCTCTAGCTAGAAGATGGAATATTGCAAGAGAGAGAGAGAGAGATTGAAAGAGAGAGAGAGAGAAGAGAAGAGAGAGAGAAGAGAACAGACCGGGGTAGGAATCGATCGTTTTAATATGACGCAAGTAAGAACATTAACGGTGTGAATGCTAAAAGATGGAGGGAAGGTGTGCAGCAACGCGGTGTACGAAGGAACGAAACAAAGAGCGCAAAGACGAACAGGATAAACGGCAAAGAGAGGGGGGAGGGAAAAAAAAACAAAAACAAAAAACAACGAACGATGGAGAAGAAAAAAACAGCGAGTAACGGGGAGTAACGTTTATTAGACGTTATTAAATATAATGCCGCGAGGCGTGTCTCTCTTTCCCTTCGGGAAAGTTTTCCGATAACTTCGTAATTTGCTAAAAGGATCCTTGTGCTACGGGATTTTTAAGATGTTCCGCTTCCTCTCCGTGATGTCTTCCATCGATCTACCGCTTGTTTTTCAACGAAGTTTGTTACTAAGCTTTTGGAACAATGTACATCTCACTTTTTAATTTTTTTCCACTCGACATCGTCGAACAGCTTGATATTGTGTATATTTTAGTGATCATATATATATATATATATATATTTATATATATTTTTTTTATATTTTTAATGCGTGTTCACACAGCACCAGTTCGCAACTGCTCGATACGTCAACTGTTTCGTGCTTTCAACTCTATCTCTCTTTTCTATATAATTGAATAATAATGTGTAATAGAAAGTTTTGCAATAATAATAACGCGTTTCTGATATACATTAATTATAATGCTATCATCGAATCACTCCGGTAAGCCGGATTTATTTGGCAATTTTATCGTTTATCGTA